GGGTTTCACTGTCTTGCCCAGGCTGGAGTGCAGTGGTTTGATCATGGCTCACGACAGCCTCTAATTCAGCTTCCTGAGTAGCTGGGACTACAGGCACACATCACCATACAATGCAGAAGGTATAAGTAGTGGGATGTGTTGCAGGGAGGAGTGGGAAGGAAGGGGTGATGTGAGGGAGCCACTTGGCAGGGGGAGCAGGCGTGCTCTGCAGAGCCCCACGGGCAGCACCAGTGAGTCAGCAATGGGAGGAAGTGACACGAGGGCACAACTGTCTCTCCGGCTAATTTCTGATGCAGCAATCCCACTTCTGGGTATCTACACAAAGGAAAATAAATCATAAAAATACCTGCAATTTTGTTTATTGCAGCACTATTCACAATGGCAGAGACATAATCAACTTGAATGTACATCAGTGGACGAATGGCTAAAGAACACGTGGTATATGCCCATTGGAAGACTCCGAGGGTGAGAGGGAGGTGAGAGGTGAGAAATAACTTAAATAACTTAATGTGTAATGTACACTATTTGGGTGATGGGTACACTAAAAGCCCAAACTCCACTACGTGACAGATCCATGTATCAAAACTGCATTTGGCCAGGATCACGCCTATAATCCCAACACTTTGGGAGGCCAAGGCCAGGCAGATCACTTGAGGTCAGGAGTTCTAGACCAGCCTGCCCAACATGGTGAAACTCCATCTCTACTAAAAATACAAAAATTAGCCTGGCATGGTGGCGGACACCCGTAATCCCAGCTACTTGGGAGACTGAGGCAGGAGAATTGCTTGAACCTGGGAGGTAGAGGTTGCAGTGAGCCAAGATCATGCCACTGCCCTCCAGCCTGGATGACAGAGTGAGACTCCATCTCAAAACAAGACAAAACAAAACCAAAAAACTGCGTTTGTACCCCTTAAATTTAAACAAAAATGAGTGTTAAAGTTTGATTAACGATTTTATACCAGTTAGGCTGAAGTAAATATTAAACTTTCAAATGTGTCATGTTATTTGGCAAATAAAATAAGGAAAAATATGAAAATAAACTTTATGATGTTATTCTATGCTTATGTTACTATTAATACATAGTTTTAGAAACTTTGCTTTTCAGTAGCTGACCACTGCCGGTTTTCCAGAGCTTACTGTACAGCAAGCATCCTGCTCAGCATCCCATTCTCTCCTCCCACACTCACCTCTCACACAGTTGCTATTAACGGCCTTTCACAGATGCAAAACTTGGGAATAATAAGGTGGTCATTTGCTTAAGGTGAAACCACTAGCCTGGCATCAAGCTGAGGCTGCAGCTGCCCTCTAGCCGCCTTCGGGCAGCTCTGACTCCAGGCGGCCAAAGCCCTTCGAGAAGACCCAGGACCGTGAGGGCAAAGCAGGACATCGGCCCTGGCACGGAAGAACTTTGAGCCCAGGCTGGTCAAATACATATGCGAATAGTTTAAAAAAATAGTTGAAGGCAACATAAATCTCTAGGAATTGATGGTGATGGTGGGCGGGCGCCGGCCAGGGACAGCTCCGCAGAGCTGAGGCTGGGCTCGGAGCGGCCACCGCCGCCCGCTGCATCAGTCACCCATGCGGGCGCCTCGGCCTTGCTTTTGACCTTTTTCAGAAAGGGACGAGAATCCTCCCTAGCTTTCTTTCCTTTTTTCTTTCTTTATTTTTTTGAGACGGAGTCTCGCTCTGTCGCCCAGGCTGGAGTGCAGTGGCCGGATCTCAGCTCACTGCAAGCTCCGCCTCCCGGGTTCACGCCATTCTCCTGCCTCAGCCTCCCGCGTAGCTGGGACTACAGGCGCCCGTCACCTCGCCTGGCTGATTTTTTTGTATTTTTAGTAGAGACGGGGTTTCGCCGTGTTAGCCAGGATGGTCTCGATCTCCTGACCTCGGGATCCGCCCGCCTCAGCCTCCAGCCTCCCAAAGTGCTGGGATTAAGGTGAGAGCCACCGCGCCCGGCCCCCTCCCTAGCTTTCTAATGGGGACATTAGGACGGGAATATTTCTGGAGCAGTGTGAGAAGTGGGACAGCACGAGCGCGAGGCCAGAGGGAAGGCGACTGCAGACACGTAGGAGGCGATGCGTTCACCGCCTGAGTAACAGACGGTCGCGAGCATTTGTCATCTCGCGGGTTTGGTGGGTCAGGCCCTCGGGGGCAGCTCTGGCCGGGATCCCGGCCCGGGCCTCGCACGAGGTGGCAGCGGAGACGGCAGCGGGACCCGCAGCCTCCAGGGGCTGCACCAAGCTGGAGGATGGCGTCCGCGCTGGCCACTCTGAGGGCCCCTCCAGGGTCCTCCAAGCCTGGCAGAGGGACCACGTGCGGCCGGCGGGGCTCGCGCCACGCATCTCTGGACTAACCCCCCGCCCAGGCCCCCAGGCCCCCAGGCCCCGGGCCAGGCCTCTGCAGCGGGCACGCGACACGCGGGCGAGGTCCGGAGTGGCAACGCCAGGGACGAGTACGCGCAGCAGAGCAGGGCAGGGAAACCCAGAACTCAGCCAAGACGCCGGAAGAAGGTGCGATGTCCAAACAGCCCCAGGGGAAAGGCCGGAGGAAGCCGTCGGCCGGGGACTCGGGCCTGTGTTTGGAAAATGGGGGCAGCACTCACCAGAAACCGGGAAGGACAGCAGTGCGGCGGGAGGGGCACGCCCGTTTCTGTCTGTTCACGGGAGACGCAGGGGCGCCTCTGGGAGAGGCTGCGACCCCAAGAGGTGGCACACACCTGTGGTCCCAGCATTTGGGGACAAGGCTGAGGTGCAAGGATGGCTTGGGCCCGGGAGTTTGAGACCCCGCCTTTAAAAAAAAAAAAAGAAAATACTGGCCGGGCGCGGTGGCTCACGCCTGTAATCCCAGCACTTTGGGAGGCCGAGGCGGGCGGATCACGAGGTCAGGAGATCGAGACCATCCTGGCTAACACGGTGAAACCCCGTCTCTACTAAAAACACGAAAAATCAGCCAGCTGTGGCAGCTCCTGTGGTCCCAGCTCCTCGGGAGGCTGAGGCGGGAAAATGGCGGGAACCCGGGAGGCGGAGCTTGCAGTGAGCCAAGATGGCGTCGCTCACTCCAGCCTGGGCCACAGAGCGAGACTCCGCCTCAAAAAAAAAAAAAAAAAAATTAGGTGTGGCGGCGCGCGCCTGTGGTCTCAGCTACTCTTGAGGCTGAAGCGGAAGGATGACCTGATCCCAGGAGGCGGAGGCCGCGCGCTACTGCACTCCAGAGCGAAACCCTGTCTCAAAAAAACAAAAGACTGAGGCCGAGAGGCAGCGGGTTCACTGCCATCCATTCCTGCCGGCGGGAGTCCCGGACCCCGCGCACGAGCGGCACCGGGTGTCCTCAGGGCCGCGGCCTGCGGGCTTCGACGGGAGCAAAAGGCCGCCCGAGGGGGCGTTTCTTCCCAGTGCGGGGCGCGGCGCCCCACAAACACCGCTGGGCCCCGGAGGCCAAGCCCTGCGCAGTTTTCCCAAGCGAGCTCCCTGCTGCCTGGTCAGACCACACTCACCTCCGTGCAGATGCGCGTTTCGCGGACAGAGCTGCACGTCCGCCCTGAGTCCATTTCTGGCCAGCGGGGCAGGGCGGCCTCTGGCTGCCGTTCAGTCGCGGCTGGAGCCGCCTGTCTCCTCTTCCCCTTCTCACCACTGCGCTTGACTCCTTTTCAAAACAAAGAATGAACCTATTTCCAACCAACACAGAAGTTACGAGGACGAACAACTTTACACTAATTAAAATCAACTACTACTACTTCCGCGGTTTAAGAACTGACCACCTCAAGAAAAACTTCTTAAAATGTATGTATAGTGCATATATATATAATATATATATAAGAATAACCACAACGCACGCAGGTGCTTGTTTTTACCCCACTTTGGTCACCAAAGGTTTGAAGTGGCTGGAGTCTGACATTTACAACTGTCTTCGCCTAAAACATGTGATCGTACCCCCAAAATATGCAGGGACCTCTGCGTGCCCCAGCCAGTGTGCGACCCTTTCTCTCCAACCCTGCTTCAGAGACGGTTTCCAGATCCCATGTTTCCTTGTTTCCGTCTAGAGCAGAACCACCAGGTTGACAAGTTCTAGACCATTCCCACTGGGACATTACAGAGCTGCTGCGGGAGCAAGAGGGGCCGCTCAAGGGCGCTGCGTCCCGGGGAAGGCGGCACAGGGACCGCGCACCGGCACCCTGGCCAGAGGCCCCGCTGCCTTCGGGACCAGGGAGGCGGGGGCCGCACAGCTCCACTCAAGATGACGCTGCTTAAACGCAGAAAAAAGACAGACACGAAACGGCTTATCCAGCATGAGCCTATCTGTGTTTAATAAAGGAAGGGAAGAGAAAGGCCACACACACACTTTCATAAGCACAGAAAACTTCCGGCAGGCTTTGCGAAAAAGAGCCACTGGCAGCGCGGGAGTCCTTTACCCTCCAACGGACTCCAGACTCCTGTACTTTCTTTTTTAACCATAAGCATGGGTTGCTTTTATATATATTTTTAAATTAATGTTGTTTTAAACAACTTTGATTTAAACATGGTGGGAAAAAGAACTTTGGCGTTGTCCCTGCAAGGAGAAAAACAGGAACTCAAACCTCGGATGCTGTGAGGGATCCAAGGCCTCCAGCCCCAGCAGGTGAGGCTGGCCAGCAGCGAGGCGGGGCCTCCAGCCTGGGCACAGGATGTCCCCAGGGCAGGGGCAGGCTGGAGGGGGCCGGCACAGCCTGCAGAAAAGGCCCGGAGACCCCTGGACCCCAGCCCTCTCCCCGCGTGAGGAGCCTCGTCAGGAGAGGCTTAGCCACTCGAGGAAAGGCATTTGGGCGCCAAGAAGAAAGCCACGGCCCCAGGCCCCGTGAGCCCCACAGTGAGAGCCCGCCCGAGGCCAGCAAAGGCGGCGGTGGGGGAAAGGCCGGAGGGCGGCAAAGGCGGCGGTGGGGGAAAGGCCGGAGGGCGGCAAAGGCGGCGGTGGGGGAAAGGCCGGAGGGCGGCAAAGGCGGGGGTGGGGGAAAGGCCGGAGGGCGGCAAAGGCGGGGGTCGGGGAAAGGCCGGAGGGCGGCACACCCCCCAGCGTCTGTGGACGGGCCTGAGTGGAGGACAGCGCGGGCGGGCGGGGGCGGCACGGGCCACCTGCAGGGAGAGAAGGGCCTGGGCCACCATGGCAGGCAAGGTGATGGGCGCCACCCCAAGGGACATGGGCGAAGGCCTCGCGCCCTCCATCCACGCAGACGGCGGCGGCGGGGCTGGCTGGGGCTGCTCCCTGTTGCACGCTCATGAGGGGAGGGACGTCCAGTCCCGGGGTCACCTGCGACCCGCGATGAGTCCAGCCCGATCCTCCTCTCCGGCCCTGCGCGCCCTCGCAGCCAGACGCGCTCTTCCGTCCGGTCCTTGCTCGTCCTCACGTCACCTCCTCACCTGCTTCTTTCCTTTCTTCTGGGAAGCATCTGCGGAGACACCGGGGTCAGCTCGCAGAGGGGCAGAGGGCGCACCACACACCACACTCAAGACACAAACCACACTCATGACACACCACACACACACATCACACACATGCATATCTTACATGCACACACCACACACATACACATCACACATATCACACACATGCACATCATACAGACATGCACACATCACCCACAGCACACAATACACATCACACACATGCACAGCATACACACATGCACACGCACCACACATACACATCACATGACAGCACACACAAATCACACATATGCACATCATACAAACATGCACACACGACACATACCACACACATATACACATCACATACACAGAGCACACACACACCACACATATACACATCACACACACATACACATCACATGACAGCACACACAAATCACACATATGCACATCATACAAACATGCACACACGACACATACCACACACATATACACATCACATACACAGAGCACACACACAGCACACACTTCACACCACACACACCCCACATACCACACACACATATACACACATCACACATACCCCACACCAATGCACATCACACACAGCATACACACCACACACACACACCACATATATACATACAACACACATAGTATACACAGCAAATACAACACGCCACACACAGCACATGCACACCACACGGCATACACACACCACACCACATACACTTATATACATACCATGCACACTCCACATACCGCACTCACCACACACACATATATACTCACCACACAGCACACACCACACACCACACAGACACAGGCCGCCAGGCAAGGGAGCGCCCTACAGGCGCTGCACCCAGGGTACGGCCACGAAGGAGGCGAGGCCCAAGGCCGCCCCCTGGCTCGGGTTCAAGGAGAGCAAAGCGTGGCTTCAGTGACTCGAGCAAAATCAGCACGAAGTTCTTAAGGATCCCTGGAGCCACACACACGGGGGACAGATGGGAACGAGCGACCCAGAGCAGCGCAGCACAGCCTCTGGCGGGAGGCGCATCCTCCCGAGGGAGCAGGCCCTGGTGGCTGCTGGTCATCGGGGCAGGGCCATTAGAAGTCCAGCCGCTGATGGCCCAGGACGCCAAGCAATGTTTGTGAAGCTCAAGGAAATGCCAGAAAAGGCTTTCACTGCTAAAAGGAAATGGCCTTGGAATCTAGATCCTGCCACGAAGCAAGGAATGGAACAGAAAGAAGATGAACCCAGTGATTCTGTGTCACCGTGGAAAACTAAGGAGCTCTGGGCTGGAGAGCGACCAGCAGCTGCATATTTCCGGCGTCCCCTCGCCATGTGCACCATGCACGCGGGTCACAAGGGGCTGCAAGGCCCCCCTAGGTGAGTGAATACTGTACTCACCACCATTTATCACAAGCACGGGCGCAGGCCTCCTTAGCTCACAGCACTTTCAGAGTGTTCGATTATCCACTCGATAGCCGCCCACCCCTGCAACACAGAAAGATTTCAGCACTGAGTGGGCCCTCCTGCCTCCCGCTGCAGACAGCAAGGGACAAGTCCACGGGCTAAACTGCAGAAGGGAAGCGCTGCAGTTACAAGGAGACACAGCAGTGACCTTTCCAAGTGATCTTCACACAGGCAGGCAGTTCCTCCAGCTCAGAAAGGGGAAGGAAAACAGTGCCTAAGCGTCACTGCTGTGTTAGCAAACCAGCGCCCCGCTTAGCTCAGTACAGCAAGTCCTGTCCCTCACCTCCCAAATCCCAGTGCTGAGGCTGCCCCAGGAGGCCAGGAAAGCCCAGGGCGACACCTCCACACACCCTCAACCCCATCCCCTGCACCTGCCCTCAGGCCGCTCCACTGTTTCCAGGCACAACACCTCTCCCCACCGGGCTAGGGGAAGCAGTGATTCTCTCCTAAGCCTTCAACACAACCCCTAATAAAGTGAAATAAAGGAAAGCCAATTTGTCCTCACTGAGTTTACCCCAAGTTTTTCACATAAAAGATCTAAAATAGCTGCAGCCTCACTGAATATTCCCTTCCTCTTATAATATTTTGTTTGGCAAACATTTAGGGCTTCTGCCCTAAACCAAGCACTGGAAACGATGGATGAGACCCGGGCTCCTTCCTCCAGCATGGACAAAGCTCTCCCACTTTGACCTTCACGGCCCTGCCTCCTCTGAACTGAGCTAAGCTGCTCAAATCTCTACCTCTCACATCTGGAGTCCACAAAATTAGATAGACAGGCTCTTCTGTTGGTGATGAGACTAAACGCAAGCCATAAATGGTTTTCCACTGGTTGGCGAGTTAAGCACGGAAGGACATTGGAAAGGGAAGTACAGCCTTAGGAATCACCCACTGATCCCAGAAATGAAGACTCACTTCTGACCCCCAAAAAGGGGGGAAGAGAAAGAGGGAGGGGCACGGGGGACAGACAAAGGGAAGACATGAGCTTGTCAGGTGGGCCCAGGTGAAAAGCAAAGGCCCTGCTCTGGCAAGTGGCATCCTTTAAATGTGAGGAACATCTTCCTCCCAAACATTCAAGCTCTTTCCATCAACTCTGCTGGAGGGGAGGGCAACCCGGACTTCTAGAACGATCTCTGCCTCCATTCCAGTGCCCTAGACACAAAGGGAGTGCCATGGATTGCCTCCTGGGATCCATCCTTTCTCCTCTCACCTCCACAAAGCTCACTGCCAAATCCTGCCAGAGAAGAGCTGTGAAGGCGGCGGCAGGCCCCACGGAAGCATCACCGCTGGACAGGTTCAGCCAAAGCCACGTAATGCCCATCAAATAGGAAACGACTCTAAGTCCTGAATAGCCTACCTGACACTGTTAACACTTGGTATCTCTGATGTTGTGGGTTAGTTTGCTTTGGTAACTGAGCTTATGACATTTGGGCTCTTCGAAGTGGTAGTTGCCTTGGCTGGGTTTACGCTCCAGGTTTACCCCATACTTTCTCTACTGAGAAGAGTAACTTTACGGCTCCCTTGGCTTTCACAGATGCACTTCCCTCAGACCTGGGTCAGCCTTTCCCGACCCGAGTTTTGAAATGCTGTAGCATTATGAGCTCAGCACAAATGGAGAGCCCCAGCACTCTGGATTTTATTTATTTATTTATTATTTTTTATTTTTTTTTTTTAGACAGAGTCTCATTCTGTTACCCAGACTGGAGTGCAGTGGTGGCTCAGCTCACTGCAACCTCCACCTCATGGCTCCAAGCAATTCTCATGTCTCAGACTCCTGAGTAGCTGGGACTATAGAGGTGTGCCATCATGCCCAGCTAATTTTTGTATTTTTAGTAGAGACGGGGTTTCAGCATGTTGGTCAGGCTGGTCTTGAATTCCTGGCCTCAAGCGGTCCGCCTGCGTTGGCCTCCCAAAGTGCTAGGATTACAGACATGAGCCAACATGTCCAGCCAGGAAGACTTATGAGACTAAAACTGTCATCTTCTTAATCTGGCACTTAACAACTAGAGCACACGCAGGACTTCTAGGATTGAGGTACATACCTTCTTTGCATTGGATGATATCGTGTTGGCCATTAAACTTTCCAAATAACTACCGAGGCTAATCCCCTTCACGGTAATGATGGCTTCTTGTGTGAGCACGGTCCTGCAAAAGAGCAAGAAGAAAAAAGGGGTTGACCAGCCCTGAGAGAGACGAGGGTCTGCCCTGCCCTCACCCTTGGCATTCAATGTGTCAGTCCCACAGGAGATGACTCACATTTCTGGGTTCTCTGGATGAGGTGTGTACACCAACCTCTCATTAACTGACACCAAATTTGTGAGTGTGATCTTAAAAAGAAAAAAAGGTTTAGATTGTATTTCTCTTGCATTTCTTCAAAAACTGCCTGCCCATACTCTTCCATCCCAAAATTAGCACTTAGTGGGGTCAGAACAGAAGAAAATTTTAGGCATAGGAGATACGACCACATTAAGTCCTAGCAAATCATGGCTTTGCTGTTCCTTCTGGCAACTGTCATCTGTCTTCTTCCCATGTCCCACTCCACACGTGAGCAGGGCTCTGGCCTTCGAGGTACAGTCAAGCTGCCAAAACTATCAGAAGTTGTATTATAGAAAAGGACAAAAAGTCCTGTGTGTTCATATAAGTGAGAGAAAGCTTTTCACCTACCCACGGCAGCCCACGGAGCACTGTCTCCTAGGACTGGATGGGACAGACTCTGAATCTACATGGAGATTGCAGGGTTCTTTTCTCCTCCAGTACCACTTCCTATAAACAGACTAACTCCCTATGAATATTTATACTTTCTTTTTTTTTTTTTTTTTTTTGAGATGGAGTGTCACTCTGTCGCCCAGGCTGGAATGCAGTAGCGCAATCTGGGCTCACTGCAAGCTCTGCCTCCCGGGTTCACACCATTCTCCTGCCTCAGCCTCCTGAGTAGCTGGGACTACAGGCGCCGCCACCACACCCGGCTGATTTTTTTTTCCGTCTTTTTAGTAGAGACGGGGTTTCACTGTGTTAGCCAGGATGGTCTCGATCTCCTGACATCGTGATCCGCCCGCCTTGGCCTCCCAAAGTGCTAGCATTACAGGCGCGAGCCACCGCACCCAGTCTACCTTTTCTATCAAAAGCAATGTAAACACTGGAGCTCTAGAGCCACGCTAACAGAATTTTCTGTGGTAACAGTAATGTCCTATGCATGCTGTCTGATGTGGTAGCCACAAACACATGCAGCTAATGCACCCCTGAAATGTGGCTCACGTGACTGAGGAATGGAATTTTTAATTTAATTTTATCCTAATTAGCTTAATTTTTTTTTTTTCATTCAGATGGAGTTTCACTCTTGTTGCCCAGGCTGGAGTGCAATGGTGTGATCTATTTATAGTAGAGATGGGGTTTCGCCATGTTGGCCAGGCTGGTCTCAAACTCCTGACCTCAGAGAAGTCAGGTGAGCTGCCCGCCTCGGCCTCCCAAAGTGCTGGGATTACAGGCGTGAGCCACCGGGCCGGCCATAAAAAGCTTAAAATTAAATAGCCATGTTTCTGGTGGCTGCCACACTGGACAACAGAGCCCTAGAATTGCTTCATCATTTAACCCAATTCACCCTCTTCTTCAAACGCCACTTCTGATAAAAGACCATGTTTTAAAAAGTTTAAGCAGTGAAAAGCAAATTAACCTTTCTGTAGTGACACTCATTTTTTTCAGTCATCTCTCACTGAATCCCTCCCCCAGCCTCACTGTCCCAGTGTAAATGGTTAGTAGGAAATGTCTCTCCTACTGAGTGCCAGGTTATCAAGAGTCTCACGTGTATGGGCATTTCATGCTACAGAAATATCTAACAATATCAATTACAAATTAAACTCTGATTAACTGTTGTCATTTTATGTGCAATATTTTATGCAAGTCACTGTGTTGCATAAACCTTACTTCTCTGAGGTTTGTTCTTTTCTTTTTTATATGAGAAATGTGAGACTCAGAAAATGCAAATAGCATCCCCAAGTCATCGGGTCATCCAGCGACGGCTTCAGGATGCAAGCACATGGCTTGCTCCAAACCCCGTTTCCTTTCCATCAGACTTCACTGGAGCATAAACTGTTCCTTTTTACATACAACTGAATTTTCTGAAAGCATAAGGTGGAATTTCATAAGTAAATACTGATTTTGGGAGCAGAGAGAACAGAATACATAAGCTGTGAGGAATAGCCAGGGGGCCCCAACTGAGGCTCCTGTGATTTTGTGCAGCCTGGGACAAGGAGCCAGCAGGACCAAGGACACTGGCAGAGGTCCAGGTAGTACACTAAGGAGCTAGGCTCCATCCTGCAGGTGGCTCAGAGCCTCATCTCAGCACACAGGGACGCACCCACTGCCTTCTACAGAAGGTGCCCCCAGCTGGGCAGAGTGTGGCTGGCCGACAGCACCAAGCATCCTGGTGGGCTACTCCCACGGCCGCCTGAGAAGCTCATAGGAGCTCCTGAGGCCCTCGGGTTGGGGCAGGGGAGCTGCGGGACCCAGAGCAGCTCCACTTTGTTTCAAACACTGGGCCTCCCACAAGATGATGAGAAGATGGGGAGCTGCCCAGGTACCAGTTCGGGTACTTGCATATGGCCGCCTGGATGACCTGCTCCTCAGCCCTGTCCCTACCCACTGTGCCCACCAGCCCTGCCTGCCCCTGGGCCCAGGTCGCCCCTCCCTCACTGCAGCGCTGCTGGCCAAACCTTCAGCTTCAGGCTGGACACTCCAGGGCCTGCTGTGCAGGGGCTGCATACTCGGGATGTGCAAAGCAAGCTTACCTCTCTCTTCTCACACCTGTCCCTGATGGGCCACCATTCAGCCTGGCGCCCTAACCAGAGAGTGGAGCTGCACCATGAGCCTCCCGCTCCTCACTCGCCATGTCTCGCACCAGGTGGCCTCTGTTACCTCTCACCTGGACAATTACCTGCCCGGACTACTGGTCTCCCTGGCTTAGGTTCCAACATCCCCCCCACCGTCTCTCCACAAGCCTGCCAAGGTATTCTTCCCAACACACACCCCGGCTACCTCACCTTCCTGCAACAAACTCTCAGCGCCTTCTTACCACAACAACGACCTCCAGCTCCTCTGCCTCTTCTGTGGTCTCGTCCCTGCCCCTCTCCAACCTCCTCCCTCCCACACCACCTTCCCCTCTTAGTCTCCAACACCATCTGTTTGTGGCTCTCTAAGGCTCAAGGGCACCCACTGCCAGTGTGTCTGGAGAAGTCCTGCCAGGCTCCCTGTCAGCTACCTTCACACAGCCACTTAGGGGGGCTCCTGCTCGCTGCCACCTACACAGGTTGTTTAGCTGCCGACCGTGGGATGACAGAGCCAGTCAGGAGGGAATATCTTTTAATCCTTGCATTCCCCATCCCTAGCACTGTGCTGGGTACCTGGCAGGCACTTGATACTGTTGGCAGAACCAGTAAATGAGTGGTGGCTAGAGCCAGCCGTGGCACTGGGGACAGAAAAGGAGGCCAGATGAGGACATGGCTGACTTCACCCACCATAGCCCATTTCTATATTTGCTGAAAATAAGGATTATTTTATGAAATAATTTTCCTAGCCCATGCATATTCCCCAACATGTTCTTTGCATTTGCATTAGACCAATATACATTTTTTTAATTGAGAGAAGTGAGAGAGGAATTAAGTGGGGAAGTAGCTTTAAAAATGCCTGTTGGGGCAGGGAGCAGTGGCTCACACCTATAATCCCAGCACTCTGGGAGGCCAAGGGAGGCAGATCACGAGGTCAGGAGTTCGAGACCAGCCTGACTAACATGGTGAAACACCATCTCTACTAAAAATACAAAAGTTAGCCAGGTGTGGTGGCATGCGGCTGTAATCTCAGCTACTCAGGAGGCTGAGGCAGGACAATCGCTTGAAACCAGGGGCAGAGGCTGCAGTGAGCCGAGATCGCTTCACTGCACTCCAGCCTGGGTGACAGGGCGAGACTCCGTTTCGGGGAAAAAAAAAAATGCCTGTTAGTGGTGCACACCTGTAGTCCCAGCTACTTGGGAGGGTGAGACAGGAGAATCGCTTGAACCCATGAGGTGGAGGTTGCAGGGAGCTGAGATCCACTGCACTCCAGCCTAGGTGAGAGAGACTCTGTCTCAAAAAAAAAAAAAAAGAAAAGAAAAAAGCAGGTTGGGAGGCATCACTTGAGACCAGGAGTTCGAGACCAGCCTGGGCAACAGCGAGATCCCATCTCTACAAAAAATTTTTTTAAAAAGTAGCCAGGGGTGGTGGCACGTGCCTGTGGTCCCAGCTATCTGGGAGGCTGAGGCGGGAGGATCACTTGAACCCAGGAGTGTGAGGCTGCATTGAGCTATTGACCACACCACCGCACTCCAGCATGGGTGACAGGGCAAGACCCAATCCTTAAAAAAACAAAAATGTCTGCTGGTTGTCAAGACAGCGCTTATCCTGTGGGGGGTGCCCAAGGGGTCTCAGGGCCTGGTCAAATTCTGTTGCTTGACCTGCCTGCTAGTTAAGAGGTGTGTTCTTTGTGACAATTCATCATTATGTGCATTTTTCTATATACTTATTATACTTGAATAAAAAGATAAACTGCTAAATAAATTCAGCCTTTCTATGAAAAATATCAACATCTAGGCCAAAGGTGGGCTGGAAATAGAATTAAACGAAGGCCTTACGCGCCACCACCCAGACACACTGAGCCCCTTTCTCATCTGAGGCCATTGCTTACATTGGTGGAACAAAGTTCCATTTTCTTTTCCACTGGATCCACCACAGAATGTTCTTGGATGTATGTCAAAGTCCTACTGGTTCCCAAAATCTAAAAAACAAAGCAAAACTAGCATAGTGGAACGCTAAAAATTCTATTTCATATCACCACCGAATACCACTGCATTTACTAATTAGTTCACTATTCAAGAAATGGTATCATGGGATGCAGCAAGGGACAGAGACAAAACCCCTGTGTCCAGCAGGTGAGCCACTGAGCAAAGAAATGAATTCCAACAGAGTGGAGCGTCCGGCAGCACTATGCTCCCGGCAAAATACAACAGGCTGCGGGCAGTGGAGCCGGGAGGCCCCTCTGCTGGGTGGGGTCTGGGCAGAGCCCCAAAGAGGAAGGTGCCACCATAGTGCTGGGGTGGAGGTGTTGGGCTGGGGGCGGCAGGTGCAGACCCTGCAGCAGGAGCTGGGCTGACTGAGGGGCCTGCACCAGGCCAGGGTGTGGACCGCAGGTGGAGGCAAGATCCGGGCGCCGGGTTGGGGTGAGCCGTGCTCAGATTCGCATTTCCAGTGACCTCCCTGGCTCTGAGGAAGAGGCCGCGGGGGGCTGAACCATGGTGAAGCCTAACCCCGGTGCCCGAGGATGAGGCTGGCTGCGGACGCTGGGCTTTAGAGGCGATTAAGCCAGAGGAGGGGCGTGTGGCGGTGCTAATCCAGCACGCTCGGGCCCTTTGGGAGAGCAGATGGGGATGCCAGACGCCAGGCGCCTGGCAAAGCCTCCCGCGCCCCTCGATCTTGAGGAAGCCCCCCACCACCCCCCCACCCTGTGCCCCCTGATCTCAAGGAAGACCCCCCTACCGATCCCCCACCCCAGGCCCCCCGATCTCGAAGACACCCTCACCGACCCTGTACCCCAAGCACCCCCCCCGATCTCAAAGAAAACCCTGCCACTGCCCCCCTACTCCGAGCCCCCTGATCTCGGGAAAGGCCCCCGCCGCCCTCCCACCGTGATGTCAGCCAGAGCAGCAGACGGACCGACGAGGGGAGGAGGGACGCGGGGGAGGGCGGGGGCGGGAGTGGGGGGTTCGGGCGCGCTCGGAGCCGCAGCCCCCGCCCCGCTCACCGCTCTCACGAGGCCGGGCAGCCCCCACTCGGTGCTGAGCAGGCGCAGGCTGTGCAGGCGGCCGCGGCCGTCCACGCGGCGCTGCAGCACGTCCACGCCCAGCACGCTCGGGTTCATCGGGTTCGGGTACTTGCGCATGGCCGCCTGGATGACCGTGTCCCACGGGTGGCTGCGGGGAGAGCACAGGCGGCGGTGAGCAGGCGCCGGGGCCGGGCTGGGCCGCAGGGTAAAGGGGAGGGAGGCAAAAGCGGCCGCCAGGCCTGCGTTTGGTCTCCTCACTTTAATGAAAGGCTCATCCGACAAATCGGAGGAGTCGCGCGAGCCTTCCCGACCGCTGGCTCAGCACCTGCAGGCCTCAGCACCTGGCAGCCCCTTGGCTTTTGTTTGTCTGAGACAGGGTCTCACCCGGTCGCCCAGCGGGCAGGAGAGAAGTGGTGCCATCAGGGTCGCTGCAGACTCAACCTCCCGGGCTCAAGTGAACCTCCTGCCTCAGCCTCCCTTTGCCCCACCTCCAGTAGCTGGGACTAGGACTACAGGCGTGTGCCACCACACCTGAATAACTTTTTTAATCTTTTTTTTTTTTTTTTTTTAAACGGAGTCTTGCTCTATCGCCCAGGCTGGAGTGCAGTGGCGCGATCTGGACTCACTGCAACCTCCGCCTCCCGGGTTCAAGTGATTCTTCTGCCTCAGCCTCCCTAGTAGCTGGGATTACAGGCGCCCGCCACCACACCTGACTAATTTTTGTATTTTTTTTTTTTTTGAGACGGAGTCTGGCTCTGTGGCCCAGGCTGGAGTGCAGTGGCGCGATCTCGGCTCACCGCAAGCTCCGCCTCCCGGGTTTACGCCATTCTCCTGCCTCAGCCTCCCGAGTAATTGGGACTACAGGCGCCGCCACCTCGCCCGGCTAGTGTTTTGTATTTTTTAGTAGAGACGGGGTTTCACAGTGTTAGCCAGGATGGTCTCGATCTCCTGACCTAGTGATCCGCCCGTCTCGGCCTCCCAAAGTGCTGGGATTACAGGCGTGAGCGCCCGGCCTGTATTTTTAGTAGAGGCAGATTTCCCCATGTTGGCCAGGCTGATCTGGAACTCCTGACGTCAAGTGATCCGCCTGCCTCTGACTCCCAAAGTGCTGTGATTACAGGCATAAGCCATCACGCCTGGCCAACCTTTTTTTTTTTGAGACGGAGTCTTGCTCTGTCACCCAGGCTGGAGTGTACTGGCACTCTCTCGGCTCACTGCAACCTCCGCCTCCCGGGTACAAGCGGTTCTCCTGCCTCAGCCTCCCTAGTAGCTGGGACTACAGGTGCCCGCCACCACACCCAGCTAATTTTTTTGTATTTGTGGTAGAGACAGGATTTCACTATGTTGGCCAGGCTTGTCTCAAACTGCTGACCTCGTGATCCGCCCACCTCAGCCTCCCAAAGTGCTAGGATTACAGGCGTGAGCCACTGTGCCCGGCCCAACTTTTTATTTAAAATAATTTTTTAGGTCTCATTATGTTGCCAGGTTGGTGTTGAACTCAAGGCCTCAAGCACTCCTCCTGCCTTGGCCTCCCAAAGTGCTGGAATTACAGGCATGAGCCACCACACTCAGCCTCCCCTTGTTTTATTTCCTGCCATCAGAGTGGTTGCAAGTTACCCATTGCTTTCCAGAGCTCTGCACTTGTTTAGGCCTGAAACCTGCAGGGGTCAGATACACGTCTGATGGGCGCCAAGTGAGGAGCCACCACACCTGTTCAGCATGGACCTTCCCCCGGACTGCTGAGGGGTTGCTAGCAAGTCACTTCATCGCCCTAATTGTTCTAATCCGTCCTTTCTTCAGGGCTTGCTCTCTCCCAGGAAGCCTCTGAGCCTCCTGTAAGGACAAACATTCTCTGACAAGATCATTATTTCTTCAGAGGTGCCCAGAGAGGTCTGTCCAGCATATGTGTAGACACAGCCCAGAGGCAAGCCCGGATGTGTGCACACACATATGTACCATCACATTCACACATGTGTGCACATATGCATGCAGACACACATACATGCACATGCACACATATCTTCGCTCTATCGCCCAGGCTGGAGTGTAGTGGCGCAATCTCGGCTCACTGCAAGCTCTGCCTCCCGGGTTCACCCCATTCTCCTGCCTCAGCCTCCCAAGTAGCTGGGACTACAGGGGCCCGTCACCAAACCCGGCTAATTTTTTGTACTTTTAGTAGAGATGGGGTTTCACCATGTTAGCCAGGATGGTCTCAATCTTCTGACCTTGTGATCCGCCCGCCTCAGCCTCCCAAAGTGCTGGGATTACAGGCGTGAGTCACCGCGTCCACCCTACCATCCACTTTTTATAACTGCTGATAAACATTTTCCTGTATCATGAAGCCATTTTCAGAAATAGGATTATAAACGGCTATACGCTAGGTCATCTTGTGGCTATGTGTATTTCACCAGTCCTCTATGGTGCGTTATGTTATGTCGATTGCTTCCACTTTTACACGATAAATTGTAACAGTAGAGAACATTTATGTACATTAGTCCTTCAACATATCTAATTCTTCCTTAGGAGAAAGTTCTAGAAATGAAATCTCCAAATAAAATATGAAAGATGATGAGGATACTGAAGTTTTTTGTTCCATATTTGAGGTCATTTTTTAATATAACTGAGTGATCATTAATTTACTTTACCCTCATCCCTCATCAAACTCTTGTCCTAGGTGAAAGTCAGCAGCAGGGACCAGATGAGAACCAGGTCTTGCAGCTCCCTAACCTGTTCTATTACATTGGGTGGCCTCTAAATTGTCAGGGCCTGGCCTGGAATCCTCTCTCAACAACAGAACACTTATGTTCAGTTTTTCAAACCATGCAATTGTGTCACTAATTTGACACATTCCACTGGCAACATAAAGAGAAGAAAGGGGTGAAGAAGCCAAGCCTGGGTGGTCCTGATCACTCTAGGAATTCAGTCGGAGCGGAGCCCTTTTGTCTCTCTAAGGTTTAGGCAAGAACTGTCAGGGACATGGTAGACCCCAGATCTATGTAAGGAAAGAGAATCTAGAGATACATGAGACGCAGAAAGGGTCCCAGTCTCCCAGGAGAGCCTCCTCAATGAATAATCTGAAGGCTTCTCAGTTAAGTTCCTTAGACTTGTTCCCATAGAAATCATTACTTTAAGCAGAATAGGCTATGCCTTCTAACATTAAGCTTAAAATAATCTAAACATTGAGAGATTTTTGCATTAAGCTTATCTCAAATAATGCTTCTTTCATATAAAATTCTTGCATCTTAGGGCTGGGTACAGTGACTCATGCCTGTAATCCCAGCACTGTGGGAGGCCGAGGCGGGCAGATGACTTGAGGTTAGGAGTTCAAGACCAGCCTGGCCAACATGGGGAAACCCCATCTCTAAGAAAAATACAAAAATTAGCCAGGCATGGTGGCGGGCGCCTGTAATCCCAGCTACTTGGGAGGCTGAGGCAGAAGAATTGCCTGAACCCGGGAGGTGGAGGTTGCAGTGAACCGAGACCGCCCCACTGCACCCCAGTCTGAGCGACAAAGCAAGGCTCCAACTCAAAAAAAAAAAAAAAAAACTTGCATCTTTCTGGCTGATGATTTAAACTAAATACAATCTGCTTAAAATATGCACATAATAAATAATTTTACTAATTACAGCAGGATGACCACACAAATTAGTACATATATCAACAGAACAATGGAGGAAAATGATAAACATAATATCTCAACATCTCTAAAATGATAAAGTCTAAGCACAGCAAGTCAACAGCACACACCTTGGCTAAAGAAAATAACCTTGTCTGGGCATGGTGGCTCATACCTGTAAATCCTAGTACTTGGGGAGGCTGAGGCGGGAAGATTGCTTGATGCCAGGAGTTCAAGCCCAGCCTGGGCAATATAGTAAGACCCCCTCATCACCACAAAAAATAAAACATTAACCAGGCATGGTGGCACGCCCCTGTGGTACTAGTTATTTGGGAGGCTGAGGCAGGAGGATCACCTGAGACCAGAGGTCAAGGCTGCAATAAGCCATGACTGCACCACTGCACTCCAGCCTGGGTGACAGAGCAAATCCCTGTCTAAAACAACAACAACAACAACAACAACAAAAACCAGAACAAAAATATCCTGACACGCTTTCAATGGGCAAAAATAGACAAGTCTGGCAATGCTGAGTACTGGAAAGGGTATAGGAAATAGGAAAACAGAAGTGCTGCTGCTGGTGGACACAAACTGGCACAGGCACTAATGGGAGCAGTTTACCCAGAGAAGCTGAAAATGGACACCCCGCCCCTGCTGAAATCAGTCAGGGCTCTCAGCTGCCTGGTTTAGGCAGAAGAGGAATGTGCTGAAGTTTATTTTCAAGAGGAGCAGAGAACTGCCTGCTCAGGGATCCCCAACCAGGCGGCAGAAGCCTCCTCTGCTGCTGTCAGGGAGACCTCTGGGGAATCCGGTCCCCCAGGGGCAAGAGGCCTCTGCTGCCGCCCAGCATGGATGGTTCCCCATACACAGGAGTCCTAAACACTCCGACACCCACGCCACGTGTGTGGTGGGTCTGCCTGCGGGCTAAGGGAAGCTGGTTTCTGTGCTGGGGACTGGAAAGGAATAACAAAGGACTCTCTAAGCACCAACAGTGTGGGGAAGATGAAGGAGGAGGAAATCACAAGATGTCTGGGATTTGCCTAAAATAACTCAGGGGAAGGGGCAGTGGCTGGGGACACAGAGGACCCCGGACTGGCTGCCTGAGGGTAACTGTTAACCTGGGGGTGGCACCGGCTCTCAGTATTCTAGTTCCTCCATGTTTGCATAGTTCTGAAATTTCCATAGTAAAAAAATTGTCTTAAAAAGATTTAAGGCCAGGCACGGTGGCTCACGTCTGTAATCCCAGCACTTTGGGAGGCCGAGGCAGGCGGATCACTTGAAGACAGGAGTTCTAGAACAGTCTGGCCGACATGGTAAAACCCCATCTCTACTAAAAATACAAAAATTAGCTGAGCGTGATGGCGCACGCCTATAGTCCCAGCTACTTAGGAGCCCGAGGCAGGAGAATCGCTTGAACCTGGGAGGCAGAGGTTGCCGTGAGCCAAGATCACACCACTGCACTCCAGCCTAGGCGACAGAGCGAGACCCTGTCTCAAAACAAAAACAAAAATAAAAGATTTAGGCAGGCCAGGTGT